TTAACGAGTAAAAATTAAACCTGCACCCAGCATCTTCTATATAGAAGTACATAGAAGATGCTGGGTGCAGGTTTAATTTTTACTCGTTAAGAAAATATTTTTAGGTACCAGAGATCACGAGGAATTTATCTATATTACAAACTTTGCGCAATATTTTTGTTTTGCACTTGTGCGGAAGCGATTTTTGTCCAACATAGGAATATCATAAATCTCCGTCACGTGATCAACACATTCATGTGACATCACAAAAATGCTTTAAAATAAAGCCTGATTACACTATTATCTCAAGTTGACTGCAATTTCAAACAAGGATTACATATTAAAATCTAGCTTAAAATAAAATGTATATCTATAAGGCATTTTAAGACTTTGGACAGTCTTATCATAACTGCGTTCTTGTTTCCGCCAAAAATCGACATAAAAGTAAAGAAAGGAAATTAAATAATTGGAGTCTTACATATGTAAAGTAAGTTTATTTGCAATGTAGAAATGCAAAGCATTAAAATATCAGACATTTGGGGTCGTCTCCCAGCCACAAAATTTATACAAAACATTACATTTAATGAAAGATAATATAAATATGAATGAATTAAAAAAATGAATTATATCTAGAAAGGTTGATATTCCATTTAATATTGAATATCTAATAATTTAATTTTAGTTGTAACACGTCATTTGATTGGTTAAACGGTTTTATCCATTTTGTATAACATAACTTGCCTACGTCACAATGAGTTACGTCAAAAACGTATTACTCCGCTTGACGTTAATTTTAAGATAACGCTCAATTTTAAACCTTTTTCCGGAGGAAATATTGTCTTATTGTCTACCCTAAAATTAAATTATAAGGAATGAAGCTTATTTCAACTTATGTTATCCGATATAACAAAACTTGGGGCAGTTTACGCTTTCTTATAAACCGCTTCGCCGTTTATAAAACGTAAACTGCCCCAAGATATGTTATATCGGATAACATAAGTTGAAATAAGCTTAATTCCTTAAATAATGTTTTTTTCATTGCCATCGATAACAAAAGTTGCATTTAAATTTGGACTGTTGGTCGGTCTTTTAATGATTAAATAGTACTTGATTTACAGCTTTCTTAAGAATGGTCGTAATATTTATAAGCAAAAAGTCAACGCCCCTGCCATTGATGCCTTCTACAATTTTACCTGTCTCATTCTCCCTGATGCAGGATCGGTATATGTATTGTCTTTTTTTAAATATTTTTTTTTGAATATTGCATTTCCTCTCGTAGTAATATTTATAACAAACAAATTGCTTTAAAAGAGAGTTTTACGATATCACATTAGAATAATTTATCTAGGAGATGGCAGAGAAACAAATCCTGCAAATTGACTATATATTTATATATTGATAAAAATAAATCGTAAATTTTTGTAGGATAATATTGGAATATTTCTTATATGAAAAAGAACCCTCATTGCTCAATGACCCTAAGCGCCGAGTAAAAATTGAAGCCCTTCGGTATATATAGTGACGTTTTTATTTGAGTAAAAAGTTCTTGAGCGGAGTGTAAAACAACAAACAATCAACCAGTTTGGGTCCCTTGGTTGAGACCTATAAACCGAGGTCCTATGAAAAAGATTCCTCACTGTTAAAAAGCCATGAGTGCCAAGAAGGGACACAATTTTCAGCTCTTCACATGCAAGTGCATGGTGGCGTTTCCACAAGAGTGAACAATTCTCGAAAGGGATCTGAAACAACAATCAAACAAACTAAGGTTGTTAATCTATGGCATAGAGTCTTTCTTATGACAATTTAAATTTTCTCTGCAGTGTTAAATGATAAATTTTACTTATTGTGATAGGAAAATTGTATTTTTTAAAAACGATTCCTATATATGCATGTATATTATGGAAGCTACTTGGAAAATAAGTCGAAAATATAATGTAGTTTTTAAAAAGCTGAATTGCACGAATTTATCACAAAATAGGATATGTTTGAAAAAATACTGTAAAACGAAAAAATTTGGCCCATACGTATTTTAGCGCAAACGCAAATGGGAATGCCTTGGGGCAAATCAAGAATCTGGGTGGATCAGACGAGTCATATGCCTACGCAAAGGCAGGTAAAATAGCGATCAAAAAATTCTTGAAAATTCCTCTTTTTGTTAAATTTGGGAGTTATTTATAACCATATGCATACAATGTAATTAACCCACCAAAATGGTAACACGCTTTAGTAACGGTAAAAATGAGAAAAATTGAATTTTAAAACTTTGTTTTTTATGTAGAGTGTGTTGACCCAACAGCACCTGGTATCTGCACTTCCCAGTGTCCGATTTACCCAGATTTGTACACGATATCGCTTAACTATAACCGTTAATTTAGCTGCATCGAAGCAAACATATTATAAATACTAACAAAGTGCATGCAGATATGCAAGGTATCAGTTTTATTACGCTCGTGTCAGATTAAAAATGGCGCGGATATTACAAGTAGCCCGGATGTCGTCTACCCATGATGCTCAGCCAGATTCAGGGTATATTGGGCCAACTTGGGGCCGATGCCAATCTCCCAACAAATATTTTCTCTCATGATAAAATATGATATAAAGCCAACAGTAAGCCCCATTATACATAACCAACTATCAATAATTATATTTCATGTTGGACCACCGTCGGCCCAATAAAGGTAACCCAACAGCGATAATACAACCATAATTAAAGATTGGGCTAATGATGTTCTGCTATCTGAGCATTCTAAAGAAGGATATGGAGATAACGAACAGTATTTAATCTCAAAGTCCATAAAAAAATAAAAAATAAGAGCAGAGCAAACACGGACCTCCGAAACATCAGAGGTGGGATCAGGTGCCATGGAGAATTGAGCATCCCCTGCTGACCGGTCACATCCGCTGTGTGCTCCTTGTCATGATCAGATAATAACGGAAAAATCCGTCGTCAATTCAGTGTATAAATAATGGACTGATAATTGGTATGAAAAACGTCAGTATCGAATTAAATGAGATATATACACTCCGTATACAGGTGATAAAGTATTATTGCTGCATAAGTAAGGGAAGTTGACGATAAAAAAGTTAAAGTTGTCACATTTACCATATAGCTTGGTTGTTAGGTTACCATTAACGTCTTTTTCAAGTAAAATATCCAAAGAAAAAAATCTTAAAACAAAGTCAAGCAACAAAACTTTTACCTAATAGAAAATTTTTATGTCGCAATAAAACCACTAACGACTCTCAATAGATTACTTCCCCTAATGTTTCAAACCTCTACACGTCGCCTGCGTGGTGCAGTGGTTAAAGTGTCTGCTCTAGAGTCGCAGAGTTAGGAGTCAATCCTTACGTCGAGGGTTCGAGTCCCACTGTGGGACGTGGAGACCGGTCCTTCGGATGAGACCGTATAAACCGAGGTCCCGTGTCGCAGTAGATGCTGGCACGAAAAAGATCCCTTACTGCTCAATGGCCCTGAGTTCCAAATATATATACATCAGAATTTGTAGCCCTCCACCGGCAAGTGGTGGCGTCTCCATATGAGTGAAAAAATCTCGAGAGGGACGTTAAACAACATACAATAAATCAATTAATCAATCAAACATCTACACTTAGACATGAATCAAATTCTCAAATCTTTTATCTTCAGTAAATAGGTGTAATTTAAACCTTGGAATGTATGCAAAATTAATTATTTATTTTTTATGTTTGTTTAAAATGAAAAGAGGTTTGTTTACAGTGATTAAAATTTTCTCCCTTGTTGCACATGGTAGCACATTTCTGCAATACATATTTTAATCAAACTAGTAAATATTTATTTCTAAAAAAAGTTACATCTTTTGCCTTAACATATTTTTCTAGAATTTTCATATAAAAATTAAAATACAATTTACTAATTATGAATAAAGAAAACAGTTCTGTTGTAATTTGTTTAACCCTTTCTCTTCCGGCGCATTTCACCTGATTTTGGAGGCCTTTTGATACGGCATTATTAAATTATTTCTAACTTTTTTATCCAAGGGAAAAGCTAGGCATAATGCATACCATTTTGTAGGAAATTTCTTAGAGATGATATTTTATGACTGTTTAGATACTCAACCACTGACCTTATTAGTATAAATTGAGGTCAAAGGTCAATTAAGTGCAAAATTTTATGGAATTTTTTGATACTTTTTCATCTTTAAGCTAAATATTAAGTATGATGTATGTTGAAATAGGAAATTTGGGATATACCCACAAAAGAGCATTATACTGTACTACATGAAACACATAAACTTTTTTTTTCAATTCTGCATATAACTACTTAAAAGGGGTTGCTAAGCAACGCAGAATTCTTTAATTTTCGGGCAGAAATTTTCATTTTTTACTCATCCTAGACACATTTATGCATCCCAGCACATATAAAAGTTAGATGTGAGGTCATAAAATTATAAGGGACATACAACAGATAAATTGTCTTAAAGTTTGACCTCATTAGAACTATTTTTAGGAGGTCAAAAGTCAAATAAGTGCAAAAGTTTCATCAATTTTTTTCAACACTTTTCAATATTCTTGCCATAATTTTACACAATGGATGCTGAAATGGAAAATTCTGAATATACTCTCAAGAAGGGATCAGAACTGCAATATCCATGCATCATTTTATTTCAAATATCTGTTTAATGACCTTTAAGTGGTTGCTAAGCAACATCATTTTAAAGTTTTTGGCTATATACATTATTGTTTGTTATTTCACATTCTAAACAAATTCTAGACACTTTTTGTATATTTCATGATATTGTTTGTAAGATATGGGCCATAAAGATGAAAGAACATTTTTGTATTAAAAATTGACCTTGACACTCTTGTTCTTCAGGGGGTCAAGGTCATATCAGTACAAAATTCTGCTTTAAACTGTAAGTAAATATCAATTTTGAAATGCTTCAAACATGGATAAATCATCTAATAGTAGACGTAATAAAAATGGCGAATGACAAAGTTTGCAAGCAGGAATTCTGGTCTGCTTCTTATAAAGCCCTAGCAAAACATGTATACTATCTTTTTGTTAAACAAGAAATCCATTCTCTTGATGACATTAAAAATAATCTTTATTTTCATGGATTTAATTTAACAAGAAAAAAAAACTAAATGATTTCATTACAAGATTTTTCTGGTATAACAGAGCTTAAGGGGTACAATAAAGACTTGACATGTTATCTTGGAGGGAAATAATAATAATAGATAGCATTGGCAATATTAAATGCAAAACTGTTTAGTCAATAAGTTGAAAATTTGTAGCTTATATCCAAATATACAAATACAGAAATATTGCAAGATGAATTCCAAATCAGACTGAAATCTTCAACAAAATGTTGAAGAGCACTTTTACTTTGTGTCCACCATTCTTTTATCAACTGTCATTTCTCTGTAAGATCGGAGGAAATTCTTTGACTTGTCCAAGACATTATTATTTGCTGTCAAGTACAAGTGATCAGCTTCTATCCTGTAAAAGATTTTAGTATTTTGAAACAGATACATGTCATTGTGTATATAAATTTATATTTATAAATAAAATTAAGAATGCTAAAATTACTACATTTATTTGAGTTTCCTTTTAAAATTAAAATTGTATTCATTATGTGATCCAAGTAGTTAAATGATATTGTTAAGTCAATGTATCAGGACTGATAATTCAAAAACCTTGTAGTAAACCACCATGGTAAAATTACTGAACTAAAACAAATAGCATATATGGCAATCTGACTAAAGCCAGACCTCTGTTTACGCTATCGCAACATGTAAAAAAATCTGGCATATGATTGCTACGAAAGCCAGGAAGGGACACGTAAATTTTTCAAAAAAGTAAAAGATGATATCGAATCGAATTAGACAATCTAATCCCACGGATTACTAAATTGTTCCCTCGATTTATAATATGAGATCTCGAATTACACAATCCGATCTTAAGGATTACTAATTCGCCCCCTTGATTCATAATTTGAGATCTCGAATTACATACCGGTAATTTGTTTTCACAGATTGATAATTCAACATCTTGATTTGTTACAACGTCAGTCTTATGATTTTGGAAATCTGTGCTCTTGAATTTCATTACATATATGTACAGAAACATCCAACCATTTTAATCAATAAGTGCGTTCTATTTATTTTGTTTCAGCAACCGGTCGTTTCCAACCTCTTTCATAACTAATTCAACGTATATTTATTTTAGAAATATTATGATTACACAGGACCCATATTCACTTTTACTATCTAGGACTTTCAATTATTCTTATATACAAGTAACACAAAAACTTCTAAGATTTTTTGTTGTACAAATATCAGTACTAGCACATGGATTTGGAAATGTTCATGTATTTTTCTCATTTTGGACCGTAATATGTAATAAAAGTTAGGATGTAAAATACTTCAATATTCTATTTTTTAAACATGTATTACCATATCCGATATGTACAGATAAATAATTTAAACGAAATCATGGGAAGGGTTTACATTCCGAGGGAATGAATCTTTTAAACTAAAAGAATGAATTATACAACCTGAGGTAACGGACTGTGTAATTTGAGGGAACGAATTGGTAATCTGTGAGAATGAATTGGCAATATGTCAAACAGATTGTCAATCCGAGAGAACGGATTGTATAAATCAAGAACTCGGTTTACTTTTATAAATTTTAAAAATTCTATGTCCCTTCATGGCTTTCATAGATTTCATACCTGCATGGCTGCCAGGGTTGTAAAAAGAAAGGAGACAATAGACTGCAATGTCACTTCAGGGCAAAATTCCTGGCGCAAGGCTGTTTGTGAGCATGGGAGTGTTGATAAACCATCCAGTGAGTTTGACCACCCATGTATATGATGTAGGATAATTGAAAAGTGTCTGAAAAATTGAGAAAATGGAAATTGTAACCACATACTTCATGCAGATTGGAACTTACAACAGCAGTCTATAAAAACAGTTTGTTCCATATCTCAGCATTCATTCAGATAGATATTTTATGTTTAAATAATGTGTTTGTATGAATAATCAAGCATCATAAGTATTATGTGTTTTGAACACTTATTTTTCAAAATATTAATCAAATGTTTATAAACTTGTATGAATGCGATATCATGAGAATGACACAAATGAAATTAGACTTTATTTTTTTAAATTTTAGAAATACAGAAATTTTCAATACCAAAACAAAAATTTACCTGTTCATTGGTGTCCTTACATATTAATTAACCTTCGTAGTTCATGGTGGGCTTAGAAAATGGGTATTCACAGATGAAAGTATTGTTGCAATGCTGAAAGCACCCTAAAATTTCAATGTGAAAGTGGTAGTCATGTACACCTGTACACACTGGTACATAGATACTGAAAACAACTATCCATTATTATGAAAACTTTGATTTTACTTTGAACTTACGAGTGATTGTTAAATTGAGCATCAAAGTTCAAAAGCAATGCAAAATTGGCTGAACGATACGAAACACGCACACTGAAACATAAAGATCTAGTACATGTGTACATTTAGTTTTCTTTTGAACGTGAACTATTGCGTTTTAAACTTAAACTTTTCAGTCAATATACACGTATTCTTACCTGCTAATACCAAAGGCATGTTCGTATTATTTGATTCATTGATGTGATGATCTTCGTCGTGAAATAATCATGAAAATTGACGTTCAGATTTCGGATCACCATCATGTTTACACCAAAGCGGAAACACGTGTTTATTTCAATTCGTATCAACTCATACAGTGATGAGTCGTATTTATTTATAAATGCGAGTTTTTGTATTGTAAAATATAGATCTAATTAAATTGCAAATTAATAAGTATACAGTATAACAAGATACAACAATATTAAAAATCTGATTGATTTTTTTCTAGTAAAGATCGCCGTTTTGGAAATCTACAATTTTCATCAATATTGTATATCACTTCATGAAATATACATCATTACAATCAACATTCACTTCACAAAAGACAGAACGAAAGTATATATTTGTTTTTTGAAATCTATTTTTTTTTGTATTATGCATTTATTTCAGTAAAAAATATATTTGAATGGTCAAAAAAGTCTTATAAAAGAATATGTTGTTTCGAGTAAGACGCAACAATATCGACCTTGACGTTACATGTAAATATTGACCGATTTTTCCATAAAAACTATGCGAAGGTCACAAATTCAAATTATCGTAATTAAGAAAATACTGAGCGGAAGAAGGCCTGTAAGGGCTTGTTGGAAAGGAAATTTTCTCCAATTTTACCAGCTGTATTTTGTTTTCCCTATTTCAACACAGAAATAAACATAAAACTGAGCTTTGTTTAAATATTACGAATAAAATCGATAAAAAACACATAAGTGCAAGAAAATTCTTGTTTTTAAAATATACCTTAAAGTAATAACAATAATTTTTACATATTCTAAAAGTAGAGAAAATATTCTTTAAGAATATACCATGCTTTCTTATCAAGTTAATCAGGAAAAAAATTGTCAATCGTCTGGAAATTCGGCAATCGCTTTGGAAAATTACGCCATTTTCAAAAAGTCTCGTTTGTCTTTACAACGTAAAATCGATTAAATACCGGCAATCAAGATATAATCTTTTTAGATATTTTAAAAGTGGAGAAAATTTCCAAAAAGATGATATATAGCTTATATACCTTCATGCTACCACAAAATAGATACGGAGATCTTATTTTCGCGAAGTCCTGTTTTAACGCGCCATCGGTCAATTTGACCGGTACGGAAGTGAAGGGGTTAAGGTTTATGACAATTTGACTGGACTATTAGATAGGAAAGATAAAAAAACATGTTCTAAAAATGTATATTATTATTATGATTTTGTTGTCTTCGCAACCTTTTATCTTACAAGAAAGGGGTACCCCCTGTATTGCGAAGTTTGGGGCTTTCCCCGGAATTAACACATCAAATTCGTAAACCAATCAACACTACATTTAATAAAACAGATAATACTTTTAAAAATGCTCCTATCATTTTTTACTTTTGGGACACATATACTGTATTTGAAGACAGGCAAGTTGACTAGTCTTCAAAATTCAAATTACATACATTTAGAGAATTCGGAGATATTGTGCACTTTTTCCCTCTCAAAAATTAGGGTCGCAACTTTTTTGGAGAGGATTTGAAAAATAATTCTACACATACCATGATTTTAAATTATTGCCTACTTACAACTTTCACATCGTAATAATATACAACATAAGATAACCTTTGTCTCATTCATGCACTACAATTTGTGAAGTATGAAATCCTTAGTGGTGTACAATTAATATGACTTCCGCTTGTTCCTATAATCTTTATTCGGATACCAGAGGTAACAAAAAGTTAATAAGGCCAGCTGGGGCTCGTTTCTCAAAAAGGCCTACGACCAGTCGTAAGCTTAGTCCGGACTAAATCAGGGTCTAAACCCGACAATCGGACTAAGTTGCGTTTCACAAAAAGGCGGAGACTTAGCCGAGACTAAATTGTGATTTAAATCTAGGCCTGCTCGTGAGTAGGCGTAAGTTCTTAGTCTGTACACAACTTGGAAAAGGGGCATGTGATTTAATCATAAAGAGTTAAAAGAAAGATTATTTTATGCGTATACGATATAATACCTATTTATATACATGTACATAATTATACGATATGCCAAAAATCGTGAAAATTATACTGTATTATGTAGGAAATTAGAAAGGTAGTAAAGTAAATCCATATCGAAGATGCAGACTTTTTCTGCAAGGTTGGGGTGAACTAGAAATTTTTAACTAAAAATTCTTAATACAAGTTGGGTAAGATTTCTTAAAGAAGTGCCAGAATTTCTTTTTTAAATACAGGCACGCGTAGGGGGTGTATGTACACATGTTGGCGCGTGCGTGTGTGTGTGTGACTGGGGGCCCCTATCCCTAACCCTATCTGCCCCCTTTGTCAAGATTTCTGAATCCGCTACTGCTATAGCTAGTATGTAAATGTTTTGACCTTGAAAATACAGATGGATTTGTGCATTATATATGTTTGAAAGACGATGAAAAGCCAGGGAAAACATGAAAGCTCCTTCGTGCTTCTTGTGCTTTACTTTTAGTAATCAGGTTCATGTGTGATCCGCCACATGTTATTGTAGTCTCTAAACCAAATAAAATATGATTTGCGCATGCTTAGTGCCTAGCGGAAAGGTCTAAGTCTCAGGCCCAGTCTTACGCCGTTTTCTGAAACGTGATTTAGGCCCGTCTAAATTTTGGCGTTACTTTCCTTTTTCGGACTAACTTAGACTCAAATCTACGACTTTTTGAGAAACGAGCCCCTGAGGTCACTTTATATTGTACATCACTGTAGGGGGCAAGAAGTCACCTTAAATTGTGCATCAGTAGGGGGACCAGGGGTCACCTTATATTGTACATCAGCAGGGGAACCAGGGGTCAATAAATAATGTCCAGGGGCCCGTTTCCTCAAAAGTGGTAAATTTAAGCTTCACCTTAGGCGCACTTCCGGGGCTTACGCCAAAATTTAGTCGGGCCTAATTTGCATTTCACCAAGCGGCGTAGGTCTAGTCGTATAAGATACGCTTAGTCACAGGACTAAAGTCCTTGGCAACGTTGCATTGCACAGGCGCTAAAACATAAACATATTGCCCAATGCGTACAGAATGTACAGAATAACAGAAATTAAAGATAAATGAATACTTGTACTAATTGAAACATGCATGGATTTATAGTGTTATGTAGGAGACATGTATCTTATAAGAAATCTTTTTCAGTTTTTTTACATTTCAGTAATAAAAGTCTTATAAATTGAAAGGAAGAAAAGGACCGTTCATGTATATGTATTTCAGAATTAAACTAAACTATTTCTTTTGGAATTTTAATAACAGCCCCCCCACCCTCTTCCCGAAAAACAGATTAATGATTTCGCCTTTTGTAATAAATTTCATGATTCGCTAAATACTGATTCTACTGATAAATATTTTAATTGAGTTTGAGACAGAATAAGATTTAATAACTTTTTTTTCATACAGATGCAAACGGCTTATATATGAAAATATTTTGAGTCAAGAAATAAATTTTACACGTTTACTACTAGGGTACATATAAGATAATCCTCTCTAAATTTATTAAATTTTTGTCAGTTCAAATGTTTCATTATAATATTCTTATTGTTTAATAAAATGACACAAAAGTTCATAATATTTTATGAAATACTAGACTCTAGGCCGCGCAGTTATAGAAAAAAATCTTTACTTTCTGCAGATTAAATGTAATGTAACTTTTAAAAGATTGCAGAGAGTGAGAGAGAGTAAGACAGAGAGAGAGAGATTTGGAAAAATGACTACTGAAATATTAAAACATCTTTAATCTTCATGACTTGGTCTAAAAGAGTAAATTTTACATATGTAACCAGGGTTATGTATTATTTAATGCCGTACTATACTTGCGCTGCGTACATGTGAGAATGTGGTGTGTAAGACTTTGTGTAAATGAGGTAGCTGTTATTTTTAGACACAGGACAGACGGTCACATGACTTTATCCCATTCACCAAATGCCCGCTTTCACGAACTAGGACAAACACCACTAAATGTTTTCCCATAGACTTCCATACAAACTTGAGCCCCTGTCACTCATACATATATTGAATTTCGGGCAAATGGCCTTTTTTGTCGTGAAAGTTCGAGATATTGGAAAAGAAAACATGACAGAAAAAATATACCGTCACGCGGCACTTTTACTTTCAATTTCCATTTGTTTACAACAAGGTGCGTTTGACACCAAATGAAAATCTCTAACCAAAGAGCACCCCTCCTTTCAAATTTTTACCTGTAACTCCTACATATCTCAAAGAAACCCAAGTCTTGATATTACATTTTTATCAGCTTTATTTCACTTGTCAAATACATAACAAGTCTTTTCTCTTATTGACCAATCACGCGCCAGGTAGCATTTTCTCCTCCGCACAACTTTGGGTGTCCAAAATGTCTGCGCCCATGTATGTGTTTATGTAGGGGTTTTTCCTATAGAGTAAAAGAAGCATTAATAAAAAGTGGTCAATTTAGTAAATTTAGAACACATGTCCATTGCTTATCTCACCTCTTGAATATTGGGACTGACAGTCTTAGTTTAAGTACACCATTGGCTGTTACATCTCACACCCCAGTCAATCAGACCCTCATCTGTAAAACAGAAAATATGTCAATAAATTGAAGCATTTTTCTATTTTTCTCTCAAACTTTTAAAATAAAATGATTAATCTAGCATATGTTTTGCTTGTTTTTCTTATTATCTCTAATAATTTTTCAAGGTAGATCATGTTAATCATTCGGGGTAGCAGGTACCCGTTATTAATGAAAAATGAAGAAAATCAGAAGGTTTTTGTAAGAAAAAGCTGGGTTGTGGAAAGAGTGAAATCTAATGTAGATAAAATAAACAATGGAAAGAAAGAGAATTATATGTAGTTCAAATGTACATACGATAAAGAAAAAATCTATCAGCAGTGGGTTGCTGGCATCAGAGAATCAAATACATCCCCACTGAAAATTTTGTAATTTTGAAGGGGGTGACCTACATTTTAGCCAATTTTCATGGACATTTCATGGAATTGATGTTAAATATGTATATTCTCATGAAAGGCAAAGATATTCATTTGCATATCATTTCTTATTATTGACATAATTAATAAATTGATTAAATGCCAAGGGCAGATAAATCATATTGTCTAATTGAATACAGTGCTCAATTGTAAGCAAAGTGCTTAAATAACTGCAGTTCTGAAGAAATTTATTTTCTAATAATCTATCATAAGTTCTAAATAATTTAATTAAGAAGAGATTAACTAGATTTTCTAGGAAAACCATACCTTGGAACTCTTAATGAAAGCAAAGGGACC